GCTTGGGCCAATATTTTAATCCTCCACAAATACATATTATTATTATATACCATCCTTTAGCCGAATGTATAGTAAATATATTGGTTTGAATTTTTTCAGTCTTTATTTACATTTCTGTTATTTAAATGCCAATACTATATATATGTAAAAAATAAATATTATTACATACCGTCCCTGAGCCGAATGTATAGTAAATATACACCAACACAATTTTTTTCGGTCTTTATTTATATTTTTGTCATTCAAATACCAGTACTATATATATGTAAATAATACATATTACTATTATATACTGTCTTTTAGCCGAATGTATTGTAAATACATCGGTACAGACTTTGTCAATCTTTATTTACATTTTTATCATTTAAATACCAGTATTATATATTATTATATACTATCCCTTAGCTAAATGTATAGTAAATACACCAGCACGAACTTTTTCAGTCTTTATTTACATTTTTGTCATTTAAATACCAGTACTATATGTATGTAAATAATACATATTACTATTATTATTATATACTGTCTCTTAGCTGAATGTATAGTAAATACAGTGTCATGGACTTTTTCAGTCTTTTATTTACATTTTCGGCACTATAAATGTGTACATAAAATATTAGTATTCCTAGCATAGTATATAGTAAATATACTATTGCCCAGACTTCTAGCAAACTAACCACTAACTTATATATATATATATATATATATATATATTATTATATTATATTACCCATACATTGGGCTAGGTATATTAATACCAATAACCATCCACTCGTCATCAGGCCCGTAAGCAAATTAATAATTACTATGAGCACATTCTCACCCATACATTGGGTTTGGTATATTAATACTAACAACCATCCACTTGCCATCAATCCCATAAGCATATTAATAAATATCACAATTAGCACATTCTCATCTCCATAAACAATAAAATTAACAAATATGTAAACCAATCATTTCAAAAATCAAAGCACATGCACTCTAACATGTTTCAACACATACAAAGAAAACAGTACTGAAAGGGCGATGTAGGATATCTAATTAACCCCTTCCTTACTCGTAACATAAAAACCCCCAAACTCATCTCTGATTCACACAGACCATTAATGAGAGTCATTAAAATAAAATTGACCCTACATTGGTAAAAAGGAAATATAAAAATACTGGTTCAACAAAAATATATTTTATGGGTGGCCTAATACATCTAAACTCTATGTTTGGTGGCGACTCTGAATAAATCTTTCAAGGGTTTGAGTAAAATAATAAAATTAAAAACAATATTTCAAACATCACTATTTGAAACTCAAAATTTTCCCAATAACTATTAAAAGTGAAAATCCAGGTGCGACATTGAATAGGTAGGAAAAAAAAATTGAACAAATAGGGTTTGGTTTGGCTTGACTGCCACAGATAAGGGTTGGTTTGGCTCTATATTTCAATAGATAGAATTTGCTTTGGCTTGATATTTCAACAGATAGAAAAAAAAATTAAATTTTTTTTTTTTGAATATATTGAATTTCGACAGATAGAATTCAAGCAAAAAAAATTGAACAGATAATTAAATTTTGACAGATATTTGAATAGATAAGAGAAAAAAATTAAATAGATAGTAAAAAATTAAACAGATAAAAAAGTATTTGAATAGATAGCTAAAAAATTTCAACAGATAGATAAGGGGTCAAATGGAAAAAAAAAATGTTCTTCAAAACAATAAAAGGACTTCTCACAAAATTATTTTATAAAAGATGAATCTCTCACCAACAAAAAAATATCCACTAAACCTAATAACTTAGACAATTGAATTTATCTAAGAAATCCTTCAATTTTATACACAAAATATTTCAATTTATAATCATGTTAGTATATTTTTTTAAGAAATATAATGTGTGATTGAATTTAATTATGGAATGTTTTATTTTTTTTAACATATAGCCCGATGGTTGGACTTGGTATTTATAATTATTTTTTGGGCCAGATTTGGGTCGATATAGTGGTCCGATGTTAGGGTCGGGTCGGGTCAGAGTTGAGCACACACAAAATCCTTTATTATATAGTTGGCCCGGCCTAACAAATATCCACCCCTCCTACCACAAAAATGTGTCATTTTGTATCAAAATTTTGTAATATCAATCATAAAATACATAATCTTGCCATAAATTAGAATAACAAAAATGTCCAAAAATTATATTGCCAAAATTTGTGACTTGGTTACGACATTTTTTTTTACGCCAATTTATAATGAAATTACGTATTTTATAATTGATATTACAAAATTTTATAATAAAATTATACATTTTTACGATAGGATAGATATCATACACACCACCAAAGGAGTGCACACCATAATATTCCATTTCCTTGCTCTATATTTTAATTGGGAATTTTGATATTATAAAAACTCGACATTTGGTATCTTTTCTTTACCAAATCTCGTTATTTTTGTCGATCTTCAATGGAAAAAAAATAATAATAATAATAATAATAAAACAAAAATAAAAATAAGAAAATTGGTTAAGTTTCCAGATTTTGTTTGTGAAATTTTTTAAAAACTAGTTTAGTGGGAAAAAAAAAATTTAAATTTCATTATTTTCTTAATTTGAAATTTAAAAAAATATGTCAAAAATAAATTTTAAAAATTCAACCAAACACAATCAATACATTTTAATGAATTTTATTGATCACCATTTCAACAACCAAGCGAGAAAGAAGGTACAAGAAAATTTCCTTTCTCTTTCTTAATGACTTTTCTTTTTCTCACCTAATCTCTGAAACCAATGGCCTATAAGATTTTAGTCCTTTGTGGTCCAATGTTTCTTGTAAGTTCATTGAACCTATTTCCCTCCTCAATGCATGAAGCCAAACAGACAACAAAGTCATATCTTCATCATTTCAACACAAGAACACATCTACTCAAATCTAACTTGTTTTAATATCAAGGAGGTGCTTAGCCATCAGAACAACATCCAAAAATGAATTCTTCACAATAATATAGCTCCGTTTGGGAAGAAAAAAGCCAGACTTTTTTTGGCTAAAATAGCTACAAAAAACAAAATAGGTTATTTTAGTCACAAAAAACAAAATATCAAATCCAACGCATAATCATTACAATCCTCTCACACAAAAAAAGCCAAAAAACCCAAAAAGTCAAAAAACCCTTCCCAAACCAGGCTAAAATAGTCCAGGCTAAAATAGCTAAAAAGCCAAAAAGTCAACCCACTTCCCACCGAGACTATATAAATTGGGCAACTCATTGTTGGATCTTGCTAGTGACAATATCATTAAAGAATATAAACTACCAAAAAATATTTATAATTATAATACGTCAGTTATATATTTTAAAATATTTCTATATACTTCTATACCCTTTTTACACATTTATCAATATTAACAATAACTCTAAGGATAGTGTTTTTAACATTTTCATTCGCTATTATTATTGACCATATCATTGTTCAAAAAGATTTGAAACAATGGTTGGGCTGCCAGCTCCTTTCTGTGTAGGGTGGCCATGAGGCTCGATAGTACTCCTAACTCAATCTAATTTGATATTTTTAGAATTTGAGATAACTATTTGACTTATAGGATTGAGTTAGACTGAAATTTTGAACTTGTTGAATTTTCAATTTGAGTTTAGGATGAGAAAGATCATACCAACTGGTCATTTATAAAATATTAATTTTTATTCTTATATTATTTGGTTACATAATAAACTAAAAACCTAAGAAAATATATGAAAAAGTATAAGCTTGTAGCATTAAAATTTGTTAATACCTAAATTCAAATCATTATTAAAAAAATGTAAATTACACCAACTTTTCTAGAGATAAAAAATTCTTGGGAGTCTTATAATTTTCTCATAATTACATTAGAATTCCTTCAAATTTTAGTTCACAAAATACTTAATCTCCCTTTTCATCAATAATTCAGTAGTCATATGAATGAAAAATGATATTTTAATTTATTTTGCATTACATTTTTTCTTATATATCTTCGTGACTTTATAATTTTAGATTTTTTAAGCTTATTAAAAAGAAAGTCAGTGTAATAATATTAAAATGTCGGTGTAATAATGTTAAAACTACAAAATCAACTATAACTTTGTCAAATCGCATGAGATATCAATATAATCTTACCTTTAATAAAAAGATTCAATTTAGTAACTCTACAACAATAAAAACTAAAAATTACTCATATGACTTGAGATTGAAAAAATCTTTTATGACAATTTTTTGGATGACAAAATTAGGCTGAATGTTGAGCCGTATTAGATTTGTACTGGCAACAGTACATGTCATGTTGGACCGAACTTGGAATGAGACATCCTTATGTGGTGCAAGTATGACTTGAGCCTGACAGGACCTATTTTATGGCATCCTTTACAAAAAGGGTACGGAGCTCACCTCTTGTGAGAATATATATATATATATATATATATCAAATGAATTTAAATCACATAACTAACTAATTATTAGCTTGATTAGCTGGCGAAAGTTAGCTTGATTGGCTTTTTTTCTCTTTCTGGTGGCTTTATTGTGGTTGGTCTAATGTGGTCTGGTCTTTTTGGGTGTTCCATGTTAAGAGATTGTTTGGAATGTTCTAAACAAGGCCTTGTTTGATATTTTCAAAAAAAGTCAAAAAGTTAAAAAATCATTATTCTATTTAAGTCACATTATCCTATTTAAATCACATCACTTCTCTACTACATCGCTTCAAACTCAATCCATATTTCATAAAAAGTAAAAGAAATACACTTATTTAAGACATCTCAAACAACTCCTGAGTGCACTTTTTGACTTTTTATGAAATATGAATTGAATTTAAAATGACGTAATAGAGAGTTAATATGACTTAAATAAGATGATGTGATTTAAATAGGATAATGACTTTTTAACTTATTTAGGAGATGCCAAGCTAAGGCCTAAGTTTACTGTCTAAGAAGAAGTCTCTTTCATATTTAATCAAATAACCATTCACATAAGCAAAATCAAGAACAAACATAAAAGAACACAACAGGGAAAATATCATTCCATTACAAAGTAAAAGAGTAGTTGCAAGGTTCAATTCACAGGCAAGGAGACCTGCAAAAAAAAAAAATAGGACTTGAAAATCCTACCAAAAACTTGGACCCGGCACGTGAAAAAACAACCAAACAAGGTTGTCATGGCAAGCTAAAATGAACTAACTGCCATGCCCGAAGCCCAAGAATCCGAGGTACCCCACACTTTGAACTGCCCATAGCAACCACACCCTAAGAACACATACCTTAGATAAACAAACCCAAAACAAGAGTGTTGAACACACAAACGACTCTGAAAGACACTAGAAACCGACATGGAGAGACTATCAAGGCACATCAGGAAGGAGGGCACGACCAAGCTAAAACAAATACCGGGTATTGAAAACCCAGCAAAACAGAACCAGGAACTTGTATGTCGGGGAATGGAGTATCCAGAAACACCTAAATTCCCAGGACTTGGTAACTGTATTCTCAGGGAACCATGGCTGTGAAAGAGGCAGCCCCCCATTGATGGGAAGACTAATTAGTTAAAACAGGTTTTCTTACGAACCTGCAAAAAAGAGACAGGAAAAAGAGATCTGCCAAAGTCCCCTGGAAAACAACCAAGCCACCAGGTTACCAGGACGCCCGCTTCTGATGTGCTAAAAACGGAAAACTAACTAGTACGCTCTAGGCATCTATTATCTGCTAACTTCACACTGATATCTTCTTTCCCTGATCTAGGATAGGATATCACATCTCCACAAGCTCTCCATAAGTAGCTCAACCATGCTGTTATTGATTGAATTGCAATGTTGGAGGTTCAATCCCACAAGGGTTTTGCCCAATTTTCTCAGGGAAGACGTACTTTTATTTGATACCTTGGAGCAACCGGACAGGGAAAGGATCTGCAAATTCAGCTGCTCTCCACGAGACAACGTAGCAATGCCAGAATCGGTGATTGAACACTTGGACAGGTCGAGATCATTTAATATGAGACAGTGGTCAGAAATTGCCACAAGGGTTGCATCGGTAACCTTATTGCAACCATCAAGATTCAGCACTTCAAGGGTTCCACCATGTAGCCTAGCAATGGCGGAAACCACTTCGTCTGTCAAATTTGAGCAACCACTAAGATTCATCTTAATGAGTCCTGCTTCGCAGCTCTCCACGAGTGGAAGAAGCCCGGCATCAGTTATTCCACAAAGCCCGCTTAGATCTACGTGATGAAGCTGAGGGCACAACTTCCCCACTGTGGCCAAGCTAGCACTACCGAAACCCGGGCAGTTTCGAATGCACAAGCAGCGAAGAGATTCACATGGAGAGAGTGAGGGTGTTTCGACTGATAGATCCTTGATTCCCATGCATTTTACTAGGGCAAGAGATTTCAACTTTGATCCACCATTTGAGAGGGCACCCAAAATCCCGGATTGGGTGATCCTGTTGCACTCCTCCAATTGCAGGCTCTCAAGAGATCCAGCAGCTTTGGCAAAAGCTACCAACCCGCTATCTGATACAAAGCAACACTTACGGAGGCACATCTGTTTCAAGTTATGGCAGCCCTTTCCTATGGCCTCAAGACTCACATCCGTTGTCCCGCGACAAGAAGTAATTGTCAGCGATGCCAATCTTTCCAAACCCTGAGCATTTCCCATGACCCAAAATCCCCTCTCGCTCACATTTTGAAGCCCACTAAGGATAAGACTTGTAAGGGCCTTTCCATAATGCCCAATTACAGCAAGAGAGAAATCGGTAAGGCTCAAGGCCTGAAGCTTTACCTTTGTCAAGACAGAAGAGGCTGATGACAAGAGGCTTGCAACTCCCTGATCCCCAACCAAAGGGCAGTCTCTGATTGTGATGGACTGAAGCTTTGGGCAGCACCGTGCAATAGCTTGCAAGCTCTCATTGCCGATTTTTGGACAAGATTCAATCGTTAAAGTAGACAAATTTGGTGAGTTCTCTGCAATTGCAATCAAACCCTTGTTGGAAATCGAAGGACACTGACAGAGATCAAGCTTCTCCAACAAATGGCATTCCCTGGCTATCTCAAACAAACCTTCATCCCCAATACATGGGACATTCCACAGAGAAAGCACCCTCAACGAAGGGCAACCATGAGCAATAGCGGAGAGACCATGGCAGGTGACTCCACGAGTAGCGTTGCTTCCCCTGATTGAAAGCTTACCAAGTCCCCCACGACTTGAAGTTCCAACTGCAATAGCAGCAAGTCTAATATCTGTTGCTTTCTTCCCTTCCAAGCACCTTGTAAGACATCCATCGTCGCTCTTGAGTTCCAGATCTTCATTACTAGATATCATATCTACATCATCGGATGACTCATTTACTTTAGCATTCTTGCTCTTGCAAATCTCAGAATTGCGTACACTACTTAAGAGCATGAGCCAACGCTTGGATACACAAGCAGAGGCACTTCTTGATTGGCCTCCAGGGAGGCGTCTGAAAATCTCAAAGAGGCATTCATCGGGAAGAACTTCAATGGATGGTGTTCTCTCCTCAAACATGTTACCAGAGAAAGCAAATGGGGAAGTGATTCGAGCCCGCTTGCTAGGAGGGCAATAACCAATAGAACACAAGAGGCTCGAATCCATGGAATAGACGGACCCCCCAGAATAAAATTCATCATCCCCTGTAAACCCAATAACAAATACTAACATCAGCTGATCTGCCCATACAAATATACCATTAACTCTCCAGTCAAACAAGGTTCAAGAGTTTTATTACCAAAGGGTTAATTAAAACCACAACACACATACACACAAGGAATGTCTTTCTAGATAACTGTTTTTTGAAGAATTCACCAAGAAAACTGGTTGCACTGGTCTTCGAATGTTTTTTTTTTTTTTTTTAATTGAACAAAGAGTTTTCAGATGAGTTGGGTTTTCTCTTATCACATCAATCAATCTTACAAACAATTTTCAGACCAAATTTTCATATCAGGAAGTACTAAACAATCCAAGACGGCTTTTTTTGATTCTAACACATCAATCAGAAGCTCAAACAAGGTCTACAAATTCTTACAGATCTATAGGCTTTCATAACATAATCATATGATCAAAACAAGACTCAGATAAATTATTCTTTGTTACACCACCATTCAAGCTAAATTCAAGCTCGACCAACAAACCAAAACCAAAAAAATCGAAAAAACAAAAAAAAAAAAAACACAAAAAGATTCGAAACGTACCACTGTAATTAACGAGAGCAGGCATGGCTGGTTCTGAGTATAAACCCCCCAATCGAGACCAAAAATGATCAGATCGATCACCAAAAACAACAGAAAGCAGAGCAGATATATGTGTAGATCTCCAGGCACCGATTGCATTACAAAGATAGAAGGTCCAAGATGATCAGAAACCCTAACCAGTAGGGAAAAAAAGGAGAGAGAAAGAGGAGGTTGAGGAATGTTGTTGGTCTGTGTTTGCTTTTACACAACAGTGTGAATATATATAGTTTAGATAGATACATATATCATATATGCGTGCACTGTGTACAGCTGATGTGTCAGTCTTCAGATACATTAATTTACACCCCCCTCTCTCTCTCTCTCTCTCTCTCTCTCTTTCTTTCTTTCTCTCTCTCTCTCTCTCTCTCTTGAGAGCGCGTTCAATGAATCCCTCCCTAAAACCGGTGTTTACCGGTTATTTCTCACGGCTCGCCACTTGTACTGAAAGCGAAATACTACAAAACAACTACCTGTCATTGACCGGCAACGGGCTGCTTGCAGTTCTTTCTTAATTTTCTATTCTCCAATTGGAAATTTTAGTTGTCAGCAAAAATAAATAAATTAATTAACAAAAAAAATTCCCTCCAGTCTAATTTTAGATTAAAGGCAACTGTTTGGGTTCATAGAAGATTCTATTTCGATAATTTAAATTATTTATTTTGTTAAGTATTTTAGATATTTTATTCGTCAAAAAAAAAAAAGTTAATTTAATGACTGTAATTTGTTTAATTTATTAATTTTGTTATAAAAAATTATTTTTTAAAAACATAATTGTTGTCTATTTTTTTTAACAAAAATACGATAAATTGAATAAGTAGTTAACGGATTGATTTAATTTGTTTTATGAATAAATTACACAAAATTCTCAACAAAATAAATAATTCATATCATCAAAACAGAACCTTTAGTGGGCCTTACAGGTCCAAACAACTTTCTCCAATCTAAATTTTGGACTAGAAGAAATCATCCTCCTAAAAAATAATAACATATTGTTTAGGATTATCTAAGTAAATGCGCTTATTTGATAAGGGCACTTATTTTGATCACAATATTTCTCTATTTTTCTACACCTTCTTTTAAAGTTAAAAAATATTTTAAATAACATATCCCAAGCAAAAAAATTAGATTGTTGCTTGCTGGAAAGAAAATTATTTAATTTTTTGACAAAATGGAATTTTCGTCATTTTAATATTTATAATTTCTAAATTAACAATGCTATATACATAGAGGACCAAACACATAACTAATCACAAAAACTGTTCCATCAGACCACCAGAAGACACCATGATAGTTGCAGTCAACAAACTCTAACCAAGATGACAGCCACGATCGATAAATTCTAAAGTGCCGTTTGGTAACACTTACGTTTTCAGTTTTTTGTTTATATTTATAAAAATTTAAAAAACTCAAATAAAAACTTGTTTGGTAAAATTTTTGATTTATAATTCAGTGGTCTTAGTTTATAAATTTGGCCAAAAAATGAAAACACAAAAAATGTGTTTTCATTTTGAGTTTTCAGTTTTTTTTTTTTATCACCTAACATTAGCCACCACCTGCCACCATTTTCCACCACCGTCTTCTGCCACCACCACCCACCATCCACCCTCCACCACCACCTGCCACCACCACTCACCACCCACTTGCTACCACCCGCCACCGCCACCCATCTGCCACCCACTCGCCACCACCAACCATCCCTCGCTACCAACACCACCACCACTTTTAAAACTCATAACCAAAATTTCAAAACCGAAGCCAAGACCCCAGGAGTGGTCACAAGACTCGTTGCTCTAGACTCACTCCCAGACCCAAGGAAGTTTTTAGGAGAAAGGAAGATTAGAAGGAAAAAAGTGGAGTTTCTGTGTTTCTATGTTTACATATCGAAGCTTAGTTTCTATGTTTTCATAGCTAAGTGTATGTTTGTAACAGTACACGTTGATGAACGGCCACCGAATGTTATTGCCAGATTGATGGGTCTTGATGGGCTGCCTCCTCAGCAGCCTCTTCATAGACAAAATAAAGGGTTCTCAAAAACTTATCGACAACAGACTGCATCAATATCATCGCAAAGTGATGGAAAATCATATGAACACCGATCAAATAGAAAACACTCAATGGCGCAGCAAGAATGTAAGGATGAGTATGATGTTTTGGAAACATCAAAGGTTGAGAGGAGTAGTTACCAGCAAAAAGGACAATAAACTCAAAGCTGTCTGAGGCATAGATGGCGTTCATTCAGTAGAAGTTCATGGCTGACCATGGTTGGCTTCTTGCTCAACTAATTTTTTTAGTTGTATAATATATGGACTGCCCAGTTTTGTCCAACTTCCAAAATTCACACACAATCAGAGTATAAATATATGGGGCTCACATGTGCGGAAGCAATAATTTAAAATACAAGTGGTCCATAAGAGCAGTGCATAAGTCAAATGGAATCACATACATCTTTACATAGCTTTAAAACTTGAATACAAATAAGATAAAGTACAAAATACATGTTACATCTTGATAAAAGGCTTCTCAAGCCGACATGTTCGAAATACTTAAGCTTCAAGATTGCCGACATCATTATGGCCGACATAACATGCATACAAAACACACATCTCGGCGTAGCCGACTTCTTGCTTGTTACCTACATATATACATAGGGAGGGTGAGCTTGAGTTCTCAGTGAATGGTACAAGTAATAAAGGGGTTAAATGAATGATACCCGAGATCTTTTCAAAACAATACATAGTATATCTTTATCAAAACCAAACATATCATAGCTTGTTCAAAACATGAGATAAATCTTGTTCATCAAACTTGATCTTACAAAACTTACATACTTAACATGCGTCAAATCTTAAAACATGGGGTGACAACATTCCGGACAAAACAAACAAAGGTGCCACAAAAGCTTAGAGTCCCCTGGCACGTACGGACTTCACATGTGTGCTACGAATACTTATAGTCCCTTAGCACGTACGAACTTCACATGTGTGCTACTAATGCTTATAGTCCCTTAGCACGTACGGACTTCACATGTGTGCTACTAATGCTTATAGTCCCTTAGCACGTACGGACTTGTGCTATAAGTGCTTATAGTCCCCTAGCACGTACAAACTTTCAAAGATTGACATCAAAACAAAGCTTACTTGATACATTGCCATCCAAAACAGAGTTTATACTTGGTACATAAAATAGGGATATCATTCATGCTTACAAATACTTTTATCAAAACAAGGTAAAACTTTATCAAAACGTTATAACATAACTTTATTAAAAATACCACTCACATAGTTCTTGGGACGTCAGGGTCAAGGCAAAGGTCCAAGTCCTACAACACATGGCAAAGCATACTGAACATACTTCTCCAAACAAGTCTTACATGCATGCAATTAATCTCGGGAAAACATGTTAGAAGTCAAAACACTGTCTTACATGTCAGGAAGACATGCGGGGTACCAACCAGGTCTTTGCCGAGGTCCCACACCTCCTGGCCGAGGTGTGGCTACCTAGGCTTCGGCATGCGGCTGCACGCCGAGCTGCACACAAGACAACTAAAAGTGTAAGTGATCATGCAAGGTAGACCAAGGTGAGATACGATGCTTGGCCTAAGTGTGAGGTCTAGGTAAGAGTGATCTCAGCGACTACACCTCGGGAAGTGAGGTCTGGAGATCTGGGTTTCCACCCGTGAAGAACAGGAAGAACAAGAACATGAAGATCATGAAGAACATGGATGCTAAAATCATAACTTCTTTATTTACAAAATCTGGGATTTCATGCTATGAGTTCGAAAACATGGACCTGGGTATCCATACTTGAAAATCACGTGAAAACAAACACAAAAACACGGATCTTGGCATGAGCTTTCGGATCAAAACATAACTTTCCTTGAAGAACCCATGAATGTTATTTTCTCTTTCTAAAATCGAACTTCAAAGCAATGCATCGCTTACAAATCATGTTCAATCATGCAATGCAATAACATAAACATAAAGAACGACGAGAGCAGATTAAGAATCTAACCTTAGAACGCGGATCTAACGGTTCGATCTCTAGAAATCAAGCTTAGAAATCCACTCTCCCTCAAGAACTCTTCTCCCTCTTCTAGAGCTTCTCTCTCCTCTACAAAACAAGGATAGAAACAAAATGATGGGTTTCTCTCTCTACCGGCTGACTTAACTTTCAGTTCGGACACGTGGCGACGGCTGGTTGGTTCTCCTAAAAAAGGTGATATATTGACAAGACAAGACTATGACAAAGCGTATCTAACAAGCTACTCGGTAAGGCACTCCGGCAAGTGTTGTTTATTTACACAATTAAATAAATTTATTTTTTTACACAATTAAATAAATAAATAACCACTAAATTTGTTTATATTATTTTTTAATTAAAATTTTAAATAAAACACCTATTACAATTTAAATAATGAAATTAAATAAATTATAAACAAAATTTTAAAATAAAACATCAATAAAATATCTATAAAAAATTATTTAAAAAATTTAAATAAATAAAACATCAATAAAAAGTTAAATAAAATTATTTTATTTTTAAATTGAGACATTTAAATTTTATTGAATTTTATTAAATATAATACATAATTAAATAGTAGAGGGTCAAAATGATCATTTTCGCATCTAATCCCAACAGTGAATAGTCCCCCACATTCTATCCCACCCCCCTTAGGACACAATAGTCCCCCATATGGGGGACATGGAGTCCGGCCGGCGGACTAAAAAAAAATCAAACGACGGATAAGGAACACTATTTGGATTGTAATCCAAATAGTGGATAGTCCCCCCCTCCAATCCCCCCAATCAAACACGCCGGCCTTACAGGTCCAAACAATAAATTTTGGACTAGAAGAAATCATCCTCCTAAAAAAATAATAACATATTGTTAGGATTATCTAAATAAGTACGCTTATTTGATAAGGGCACTTATTTTGATCACAATATTTCTCTATTTTTCTATACCTTTTTTTAAAGTTAAAAAATATTTTAAATAACATATCCCAAGCAAAAAAATTAGATTGTTGCTTGCTAGAAAGAAAATTATTTAATTTTTTGACAAAATGGAATTTCGTCATTTTAATATTTATAATTTCTAAATTAACAATGCTATATACATAGAGGACCAAACACATAACTAATCACAAAAACTGTTCCACCAGACCACCAGAAGACACCATGATAGTTGCAATCAACAAACTCTAACCAAGATGACA